ATGGACTGGTACCTGCAGCAGTTTTGGAAAATTCTCAGCTTTCCGCTCTTCAACTATGGCTTCAGTGTAGTGACTCTCTCCGCACTCCCCATCTCTCTTTCCCTCTGGAACTCTGATTAGACATATGTCACACCTTCTTATTCTGTCTTCTATGTATCTTAATTTATCTTTCATGCATTTCATCTTTTTATCTTTTATTTACTTTATTCTATTCTGTTTTCTAGTTCATTATATGTCTTTTCTGCTATGATCACCCTGCAGATAAACCTAGTCATTAAACTTAAATTTCTATTTTTATATTTTCCCATTTCTAGACATTTTTTTGGTTGTCTTTATTTTTTTTAATTTTATTTTATTATGTTATGTTAATCACCATATATTACAACATTAGTTTTTGATGTAGTGTTCCACGATTCATTGTTTGCGTATAACACCCAGTGCTCCATGCAGTACGTGCGCTCTTTAATACCCATCACCAGGTTAACCCATCCCCCACCCCCCTCCCCTCTAGAACCCTCAGTTTGTTTCTCAGAGTCCATAGTCTCTCATGGTTCATCTCCCCCTTCGACTTTCCCCTCTTCATTTTTCCCTTCCTACTATCTTCTTTTTTTTTTATCATAAAATGTATTATTTGTTTCAGAGGTACAGGTCTGTGATTCATCAGTATTACACAATTCACAGCGCTCACCATAGCACATACCCTCCCCAGTGTCCATCACCCAGCCACCCATCCCTCCCACCCCCCAGCACTCCAGCAACCCTCAGTTTGTTTCCTGAGATTAAGAATTCCTCCTATCAGTGAGATCTTTTTGGTTCTCTTTAAATGTGCTTGGCATTTTTATAGTTTCTTCACCTTTATTCATATTTTCAATCCCTTGTTTTATTTATTTAAACATATTAAACATACTTATTTCATAGTGTTTGTCTTGAAATTCCCACTTCTGAAGTCCTTGCCTCAGTGCTGTTTGTTCTTTCTACCAGCTATCAATTATGGTAGCTTGATTTCTTTCAAATTTTGTGATTTTAAAAAATTTTTTTCTGTGTGCTCATGTTTTTTGGAACTTTATCTGGAGAAAAACTTTGAGGTCTAAGTTGAATATGTGGCCCTTCAGAGCACTTGTCTCTGCCAGTACCTGGGGCACTGTCAACCAAGGACCCCTTTAAACTCCACTCTCTACTTGAAGTTTTTAGATCACCTTACACTGCACATCTGTGCAAGAGCCACCTGCGGTTATGGATTCTCAAAGCTAGGTTTTTTTACCTTTCACTTGGCTCAAAGTTTTAAAATAGATAATTTTTCCTGGATTCCCCTGGTCTAGGGGAGAGGAAAATGGGGAGGGTTTTAGTTTACCCTTGTACTAAGAGTGTGGCTCTCTGGGATCTCAGCTTAATGTGGTAGTGGTAGTGGAATTCCTGTTCGACTCTTCATCTTAAACAGACTCAGGCTTCTATCTCTTTCCTTCAATGTCCCCATGACCGTAGAAACTAATGCTCAAGTTCACCTGTCTAGAAAGTGCCAACAAGAAGATAGAACCAGCACTCTGTTAGCACTCTAGCCCCCTGCTTTGGCTTAGTTTTGGCCCTTGAGATTTTTTCTAACTTGACAGTTCCTAAGTACATTTTATTTTATTTTATTTTATTTTATTTTTTTTAAAGATTTTATTTATTTATTTGAGAGAGAGAGAGAGCATGAGGG